GAAGAAAGAGCAATGACTTCCTTCTTTACCGGTTAGCACTTTACGATTTAGTGTTATATTGCATGCAGAGCGTNGTTTAAAAAATAAATTGTATTGGGAAACATACCACTTTGAACTACTCCCTTTTCGAAATTAGACAAAAGTGTGAGTATAGGTTGGGAACAGTTCATCGGTGGTGAAGAAGAAAGAAGAATTCGAGAGAATTTGCCGATTTCGAGAAAAATTTGGCTTCTTGAAAGTAGGGAAAAAGAGGTTGGACGAAATTCCCATGATGGAAATAACATGGAAGGCTATTCGGACGAGATTTCAGTCGTTGCAGTTGCGCAAAGAGCTGACTACTCCAGCCAGAACTGCACTGAACCGTCTTTCACTGTCGCTATGGGTCATGGCAAGTTGTTTGGACTCTCTACATGGGCTCTTGTAATCGGTGCAGCTTCTACAATGCTGGTGAAACTCATCCGAGGGTACATACGGCGCAATCTTTAGATCTTCATAGCTCCCTAATTAGGCCGTTTTCCGACCTAATAGCGCCGGTTGTGGCATTCGATGGGACCTCGAACTCATCCTATGGAGAAGCTCAGGAACCTTTTTTTTTTATCATGAACTGTGCCTTTAAGTCCTTTCTAGAACTTCAACGGCTAGCGTGTTTCTTGTTTAACAATGCCCTTTGCTTCTTATCCTGTTGTATTACAAAAAAAANAAAAAAAATAATGGGACGGCCAATAAAGTATAATACTTCGAAAAGTTGAAAAATTAATGTAAGCAACTGTTTACCTTGAAACCTTTCATGATCATTGGATTTCTTTGTTCAGAGCACTTTGTCTCTTTTCGTTGAAGTTACTATACACATGCAAAGATTGATCTTTTCCCAATTTCACGTTGTATGTACTCAGGATCAGAAGTGTTTTTCTTATTAATAATCAACCCATGAATGGCGAAGTGTGAAAAAGGTAATCGGAGTTTTGTTCTACGTTGATAGCTCAAAGGCCCAGACCAGATAGCCTGAGAAGCTGTGCTTTGTTTGTGCGGCTCACGATGCCGTATCATAGGCTTTTCTATTCTTGTTCCCTTTTTTTGATGAATTTCTGAATTGTCTGATTCAATCAAGCGCTTTGCCTCAGAAATGGGGGCTTTTTGCCTGGAAAATTTGGACTTACATGGAAGCCGGAAGAATGGACTCTCCCTGTGAGACTACTTAGCGGCAATTTATCCATCTACTTACCCCACACTGCCGTTTGTGTTACGCACCTTCTTGTTGAAAAACCTACTCCGGAATACTTGTAAATTTGCCCATATTTTGAGGTTCGATGACTTGATTTGAATATGGTGTTTGGTGTGCAGTAATTCAGCAAATATATACAAAGACGAAAGCGTGCCTGAAATCCCCTTTTGACGTAATTTTTCCCGTTTTACTTAGTCATTATCAAGGTCATCTTCCCAGAAGATGATCTGCGTAGAACTCTATCTATCGACATTAGATTATTTCCTTTATGCTACGTGCCTGAGTGGGGAAGCTCTTATTTTGACATCCTCTTTGTTATACACGATGGGAGAACGTCCGTTGCGCGCGTCCTTCGAAAGTAGGTCACCCGCCCACTTCGCGCGCGGCGCACCACACTGAGTCTCGAGCTGACATTATAGTACCACCTGGTGTCAGTGGAGCGAATGATTTGCACTTGTCTGTGTTATCTTAACTTTGAACTGACTACCGTGAACCAAGCGCAGATCATATGCCCCACTGACAACTGCGACGGCCGTCAAGTATCGCGGGCTGACCCGCCGCGTGCGATGGCCGCGATACTTGACGGCCGTCGCGGTTGTCAGTGGGGCATACGATCTGCGTTTCGACGGACGCGCGCAACGAAGCGCACCCTACACGATGAGACCCTGAACTGTCGAGATAGAAAATTCTGCCCGCTGAACTCTAATTTCGTTCAAAGCGCATGATCCCTTGGTGGTTCAACAACAAAAAAAATTGAATAGTAGAATCGCTAAGAACTTAAATATCCTATCGAACACAACCATTTTCTGAGAGACGATTGAGAGAATGAGCGAAAGGAGCTCTCCGGTTTGTGCTTCACATTCCTTTTCCACTCTCTAAAGTTGCATTGATACTGAATGCATCAGGTGCAGAGACATAGAGGCATGAGATACCTGAAGCTACTCCTAAGTGGCGGAATACTAGGGTTTTCTCAGTTGCAATGTACTCACCAGTCCCGTCTCAATTCATAAAACGTTCTGAAGGTAAGTTGACGTCAAAGGTTGTACTAAAAGAAACTCCTCAAACGAGTTTGCAAACTCGCGAAGGATTCGATCTTTTTGGATTCCTTTACTGCAGTGAGTTCGGTACTGCTGGAAGCCACACATGCCATAACGGGCAAAGGGCTCTCTTAGAGGCCAATAAAGAAATGGAGGTGGTTCTAGTGAGCTTAGAAGGTCCTTCACTGCAGACACAAGCGTTTCTCCCAGTACCGCCTGGCATGTTTCCACATCACTTAGAAACGTATCCAATCGATTTTGCCATTTTTGGTGAAAAGCATGTGAGAAGAACCAGTTCTACTATACATCATCATTTTTGTGCATAAAAGGTGTGACGAATGCAATACATTCAAGCATACCGCTTACCTTCTACAACGCTCATTCCATCAGTGCATTTTATCGTGCTTTTGATTGTATTCTACATTACACTTTCTCGTTACAGTACTTCGTCCGCTTTTTACAATCATGACACACCCCGATACGCATACACATAGACTAACTGACTGACTAAGTCATCATTTCAGACTGGTTATGCGAACAGTGCTTATATTACTGGTAGCAGCAGTGTTTGACATTCTTGCAGAAGGTTCGATAATTTGAACACACATTCGTTTTGTTTTTTGTTATTTGTCTATTTTTACTTTACAACTCCTTAAAAGGGGGTGACATAGGTTGGCAGGAGCAAAAAATGAATAGCTCTAACTCGAATGAGAAAGTAGAAAAAAAGAGGGTAACACCTTGGTAGAGGTGTTTCTTCTACTATGGTTCCTTCTCGTGACACTATTCTAAGTGATTTTCACAATGGGACCCTTGTTATTGAAATCACTTGCGGTAAAAAGTCGAAGATTAATCGGTACGCTGAATTCTGTGGTTAGTTCTCAGCATGAAGCGTATCAGGGAGTACCAAAATTCATTCTCACTGACCGACCGATGTCTAGAATGTGATTGTTTCGCTTTTGATAATGAAATTACTATATTTTGGTAAACAGCATTTTGTTGTGGACGAAATGCTGTTTCCTTCAGTGCAGCATTTTTGTGACTGGTGTAGATTGCATCAATCAATGTTATGGAGCACTAGTTATACGATTTGCGTTACTTTTGTGACTTTAAGGGGATGCGAAAGTCGGGCTAGTAAGTGTCTTTTCTTCTCCTTAGGCTTGATCCGCGCCGTCGCAGTGTCCGCTGTTCTTGTTATTGGTCTTCATTTCGTTTATTTATGGTATCTTTAGGATATGGACATTATTCCTTCGGTGGTCGCAGTGGTCGGACTTTGGGAGGGTCACCAAATCCCGTGCTCTCGGGACGTATCCTTGCGTTTTCACATTTGACCTCAGTAGGCTTTCTCTGTATTGAACCGTAGCTGCCTCTTACAGTTCCCACTACCACGAGGTCTTCAGCAGCCGAGTCGGAAAGCAGAAAGAAGATTTCTGTACCCGCGCCCTTCTGTCTTATCAAAACCATCATATTCACGCTCCTTTGCTTTATTCAAACCCACATAGAGCCTTCTCAAAATTCCCCACCCCCCTCTCCCCCCACTTTCGACTTTCACAGTTTTGCTCTAGGTCAGGATTGCTCTTACGGAATGCGGGAGACCAGCATAAAGCTTTCACCATAGGATCTTCCTCCCCTTATCTTCTAGATTCCCCTTTCAGTGGAGAACAGCTGAAGACTGCTGGATCGTGTGCTGTGGCCAGTTCGTGAACTCTTTTCCCTAGTTCTGACTATTACTACTGTTCCCTCTGAAGCTTTCCCAGCCCCCTTCGTTCACTGCCGATTTGCCCGTTCACATCATCACAGCCGCTATGGCGATTGGTCCCCTTCCGGGACGATCTGATAGAACCTCCACCACTTATGTCAAGTGGTTATCTTTTTCGCACTCGGGAAGAGAACATGGGATTGTTATAGTTTAACAACCTCTTTCGCGTTTATTCTAAGCAATGATTCCAGCGCGGATTCTGTTGACAGCACGGAGGAGCCTTTACGGGACTTAGCTATTGCTATAAACGCACCTTTTCATTTGGCGTTTTCTCCGACATCCGCTAAGACTTATCTGGATCTGCTCCTCTCCAGCCTAGCTCTTGGTAGAAATTGAACGTTCTTGCGTTTCCTTGGATCAGCGACCTTTCGCGACTTTCAAGTAAGCGATCTCATATCAAGAGTTCCGACTCGAAGCAATATCTGTGACCGACGTCTTTCACTCATTGGTCACCCTGCATACTGTCAAAAGAACTCAAGCGGAGGTTTCGTGGGCCACTTCCGGCTGTCCATTCACGCCATAAGTCCAGATTCTAACACGCTCTATTGCATGTAAAAATCTACCTTTTCTACGATTCTAACCTGACTGTCGGCCTTTTTTACAGCTCAGGTCTTACCTACATTAAGAAGGCACTGGCCCATTACATCATTTTTTCCGGTCAAGATGCGGGAACCTTATTGTGGACTAGTGATATTTTTCTCCTAACACAGAAGTTATTTCGAGAACTACGATTATTGAGCAAGTTCACCCTGGACCTTGTTGAATGGGTCACGCCCAAAAATAAGATTAGGATGCAAATAACTTTACAACTGCTTTTCGGAGGCTGCAATAGGGGAAACTACATGGTTGAAGAGTCCTAAAGAGTTTTTAAAGTAACCATCAATAAGTTTCGAACTCGATATGAATAGAACAGGTAGCTGTAAAATCCGTTGGATTGGAGAAGTCTTTGTAACAGTTTGAGAAACTACTGCATTGAATTTCAGAAGAATGCCGTGATCATGACACAAATTGCCGGGACTGGGTAGCGGCGTCGGCGAAAAGTTGCACATCTACCGATTACATTCAGAGGAGTTGCCGGAAATCGTGCGGTTTTTGTGGACCACCTGAGAAAAGTAAGGTTTCCAATTGTTCCTCTTGCATAGTTTTCAAGTAATGTCGTGCTCGATTTCGTAGAATTCCTCTTTTTCCCTCGGTACCCACTTCAACTGATGTGTGTTACACTGTATAGAAAGAAGTAACGAGCTGAACGCTTCCGCGGGTTTCCTCACGTTGCAACAGCAGTGTTGTCGATGCTATCAAGAAGACAAAGTTGCCCGTTAAAAGGGAGTGGCCAATGCCACTACACTTCAATTACAGTTTTTCTTCGTCTGAAAAACTTGATTAGTGAACCGATAAGCTAGCCAGTGAAACAGCACGACTTCGTGGACTGCATTTCGGCGCTTTCGATTTCGTGCTAAACGTCGAACATCGGGATGATTAGGCTGACGTGATCATCACTGGGTCACTTTTCGACTCCACAGCAATGGTGGGATTCCGAGATGATACGCTACAAATTGACTGTTGTGTGTATCTTCAAAAATAGGTCAAGACAGCATTTTACACTTAAAACGTTAGTAACACTGTCTGTGTTCTACTTCTTATGCTCCTGAAAAGTGAGCGAGCTTTTTGGTCGTAGCGAGCGCGTACTGATGCTGGAACAATCTGAAACCTTCACAGAAACGTTGAGGGCTGGTTGCTCGTGCTGTCTAGAGAGTCCATATCATTTACTAACCCTTACGCTCTTTGTTCTCAAGGTTGTTAAGGTTGCAACTACAGAAGTATCAAGTTCCTTATGCAGCGCACGCATCCTTCTCCGAAATTCCATCAGATTCCAGTGAGTGGTGTTTCAGAGTACGATCTACGACGGCTACCTCAGCACTTACAGCCATTGGCCTTCTTGGTAGGCAAGTGGCGATCAGAACACGGTGGGAAGGCCATTTTTCCGACGATACCTAAATTCACTTACGGAGAAGAAGTCGACATCAGCATACCCGACGACGCACTCCAGGCGCTGAAAGCCCTCAATTACACGTACGCTCATTTTGTTCCTTCTTGAAGACAATTTTTGGCATAGCCAGAATGTACGGTCAATGCAATCACTTTGTTTGAGACTATACGTTGTTAGCGTTGGATGCGCATGTGGTATTCGGGATATCAAAATGAGTTTTGCTTCCGTGAAAATGATCTCCCAGCGAAAATGATTCGGAAATATTCTGGCTAAGTTTAGGTTTATAGTTGACCGTTCTCAGATGATTGAGCGGAGAAGCGGTGTGGTTCTCGAATGCAACACCAATGTAGCATTAGGTCCAATCCGCTCTTTAAAATTTTTTTTTGGTTTCTGAGACTTAAGCAGATGCTAATAAAAAGATTATCAGTGATACCCATGGAAANATCTAATGGTGTTATACAAGAAATTCTGCGCGAGGACTCAACGCCTAAGCGGACTGATCTTCGAGTACTATTGAGCCTGACTACAAACTCACCCAAGGACCGTATTCACTGGGGCCAAACTGAACCATACATGTCTTTTTTCTTAGGAGGAATGAAGACTTAGAAAGTGTTATGAGATATCGAAGGACGGAATTCTTACCATAGATTTTTAAACTTCGTTTTTCAAGAAATCATCCTCTCCAGATGCTTCAGGCATGTGAGTATTTCTTTAGCCTTATTTATCACATATTGTATGGAAAGGACTCGATCTGTAGCGTGCCACGATTTCCACGAAAACCGTCAAGGCCAATCCCAATTTCTTACAACCGCTTTTTTTTAGAAAAATTGTTTTCAGAGCGTGTAAGCGACGAAGGTGCCACTCGTGACATAGGGGAGGCACCGTTGCTCCACGTGCACCCAGCATAGAACGGCATTCCCTTCCTGATCTTAACTTATTGAAATCCTACTTCAAAAATTTGCATCATTGAACAGCGATAGCCGAATAGGAATGGCATGCAGTTGGGTCTATTCGGAGAAAACAAATCTTCCTCCTAAATCACCCACCTGATTGTTAAAAGCATTCAGTTTTTCAGCGTACTACCTACGTGGGCGTAGAAGGGCATCAAAGATTTGGATCACAACCTGGCAACGCACTCTCTTTTTCATAACAAGCCGTTCGGTATTCAAAACCATCAGCTCAAGACTTAAAAATGGACCCTTTCTCAGATACATCACCTTTTTGGGAATGCAAGGCTTTGAGGAAATCCTTGATTCCCAACTGTAGGAATGCAGATGGAGGTCGGATAGGGCTTGTTGGGATATAAAGAAGCCAAAATTTGGAATACAGGAACATCTATAATCGGAATGAGGGAGAGTCGGCGGTACCTCTTCTTAGTTTCATCACGCTATGACCATAGTACCGAAGTGACACTCTTCCACATTCGAGTGGGACTGTTGGCATATGATTAGTGACCTTCACCTAGTGGACTGCAAACGTCTTAGAAAGTTTGCTTGTGGCCGGACAGTAAATCGACTTGACTGATCATCTCAGTTGTATGTTACTTCACAGAAATGGAGGATGTCGCTGTTGTTTTCAATCTTGAAAGTGCCTATGAGCCTGTAAAAGGTTAGACCATCTGCAGTAGTCAACCTCAAAACATGATAGGGAATGGTAGGCATAGTACTCCATGTGATTTGATATCAACAAGCGAGAGCTAATTGAAACCTTTAACTGCACTTCCATCTTACATCCAGAATCATCAGGATCATACATAAGGACCATCAGGAAGAGGAGCTGACATCTACCCACGTCGAATCCCTCATGAAAACATTCTATTGAAGCGCCTTTAATTTTTTTCTGGACATATTCTGGACATAGACGAACAAAACTATGGAGCAATCTAACCAAAATACTAATTCCTTTTAGAAGGTCCATACTGCTTTGACAATGCGCAATATTATATCGTCCCTCCATGTTCAAGGTTGTTGAGAAATCATATACCAGTTGAGGCATCGAGAAGGAGTTCTCACTAGATACCTCTAAGGCCATCGTTCGAAGAATTTGCTAGGGCGCACTCATCCATCGAAACTTCACCACCAGAGGACTTCAGAATTCAATCCATCTAGCCCTAATACTACCGCAACCTTAATCTGCAAAAATCAGAACCGTCCCTGCGTTTTCAAGGTGATTGAGAACTCATGTGCACAACTGAAGTGGAAAGAAGTTGTAACTAGAAGCCTCGGACAACTGCGTCTTATGAATTCTTTTCCTTGCAAGGGCAAGCTCATCGACCAAAACTTACCACAGCAGAGGGCTTAGGAAATCAACCTAACAGCACTAATACTGTCACACTCTCATGCAGAAAATCAAAATTTCAATTTGTTTGACAATAGGGAGGCTGATTGCGAGGATCTCCCAAGGTTGTTGGTCACAAAAGAAATTTGAGTTCCACGTCAAAGGAATTCGGATTACGTCTGTACAAAATCTCTCTTCCATTCCACTTCTATCCATTAAAATGACTAAATGCCACAGTGTCTGTTCAAAAATTTATTATTTATGATCCAACGCCGTTATTCTGATCCAACCACTAAACTACTGAACATTTAGCTCTCACGCCTGGTCTGTAGATAAGGTCGCTGTTTGGAACGCAACGACGAGGTTTAATCAAGCAATCAGTGCAGCGAAATTTGTACTCACACTTTTCGTTTCCTTTCTCCATTTTCTAATTAGCAGTCGAAGGAAATGATAGTTTGTAGACAAATTTCTGCTGCTACCGATCTTTGGTTTTCAGGGAAGGATCTGAACGGTTTCATACTTCATTAAGTTTCTAACATGTTCTGTTCCTTTTGAAATTTGATTTTCTTATTTTTTCACCTTCTGTGCTGGCCTGCGCAAAGCTGAACCCGAGCTGAAAGATTTTTTTCTCTCATGGTCAGTGCTGGGCCAGCTCAGAGAGATAATCTATTCAGTTTTGTATCGACAATGGTGGTTGTAAAAGTGGTTTTCCCATTGGTGGTTGTGGTAGTGGTTTCAGTTGAACCTTTTCTCACTTGAGCTCAGTTTAGCATACCTTTTTCTTCTCTGTATTATTCAGAATTGATTTCAGAGCTTTCGCTTGGTCAATAAATGAAAAAGATGAATTGCACAGCGAGTCCGGATATATCTCCATTAAACCGAATACAAACGATGCAGCTCTCACAACTGTTATGAACAATGGTAAGTTGAGTGGGAATTCGGAATGAGGCTTCCTCCAAGCGACTTTGGAGAAGAGAGGATGAGAGCACACACTGGAACTAATTTCATTGCTTCAGGTTGAGCCTCAGGGGTTCTGGTTGTTGTGTACACACTGTAGATTCGACTGTTTTTGTTTGTTTCAAGGAATCATACCACAGCCACAACATGAGCTCAACTTCCAAAATGACTGTTTGTCCCAGATTGAGTACCTCCCGAAGCGATCGACCTGGACATCTAGATAACTGGCCCATCGGTTTGGCGACCCCGGCAGATCATCTGGACGGGGCCCACCCTCATGAGGCGACACACCTATCAACAGAGCTCATCTCTGGGTACCCGAATCGTTACTTCAAGGGGTGGTTATGACCGCGTGGACCTACAGTACATTTCCTCAGAGTGATCCTGTTAAATAATCAGCTCATTCCGTCGGTATTCAGAAGGTCAAGATATCTCGTTTCCACTCCTGTTGGAGTTCTTTTGATTCCGCGTTTAACACAGCTGATTTTGCTCCCTCTCTCTATGGTGTTTCAAAATTGTGGCTTTTTTGTGGTCGGTCTTTTTCGCAGTTTCATAGGTTTAGTCTTTCTTCTCTCTTCCTTGGTTGATAATGCTCATGAACTAATTCCTCTTTTTAATTCTATCTAGTTTACGATTTCATCGTCTATCATAGGGCTTCTATTTTCGCATATCCTAACGATACCACTCTGAATAGCGCTGTCTAACACCATAGCAAGAACGCTGCTGAAACTTCGAGTTTTTCTCTCTAGATTTGTATCGCAACGGGTTTCAGCTCTATATGACTGTTTTTGAGGTCTTCAAAAGTATACTTTCCTGTTAAAGAGAAAAGCTAGGAAGTCGATACCGTTGTGGGTGATTCCCAAACATACACAAATTTTCTGATTCTTCAGGATTCGTGACAGTGGAGGAGGGACCAGTAAAAGGATCACAAATCAAGTTCCGACTGAAGGACGTTGGACGGATCAGCTTCAGTCGTGATTTGCCTGTGCATGATGTAAGTAGTTTATTCACCTTCTGCTTTCCATGGTTTTCTCTCTTCCTCGCTTCATGTTACCTATTTCGTACTTTCAAAGCCTTTTTGCGTGAGAAAAAGTTCTCCAAATTTGAAGGTGTTGATAAAAGGGTCAGCGATTTCATTGACCCCGGTCCCCCCAGTTCTGGGAGAAGTGGTTAGGTGCAAATTTATAAACGTGGATCATTCCTCATTGATTCATCTTCGACATTTGCAAATTAACCTTAATCGAATAATCTCCAGATATCTTGCAAAATTCATAATGAAAATAAATAAATAAAGTTCCTCGGACGCTAATACCGTCTAGAGGATGTGCTCCTACATTCAACTTCCATTCAGAACATACGGATGGTGTCTATGAAATGACTTGCGGTGACCATCCGATTTACAAGACAGCGCCTGATCGTACTGAGATCCTTTATTCGGTAGAGCACA